CCGAGATCAAGAGTTGCATGCTCCACCACTGGAGCCAGCCAGGTGCCCGCGTTGTTGTTTTGTTGATGGGTTCCTTCCTGTGCAAAAACTTCTTAGTTTGGTGTAGTCCCAATAGTTTATTTTTGCTTTTGTTTCCCTTGCCTCAGGAGTCCTATCCAGAAAAATGCTATTAAACAGATTACTGCCTATGTTTCTTTTAGGAGTTTAATGGTTTCAGGCTTTACATTTAGGTCTTTAATCCGTTTTGAATTCATTTTTGTACATGGTCTAAGAAAGTGACCCAGTTTCACTCTTGCATGTAGCTGTCCAGTTTTCTTTTTTTTTTTTCTTAATATTTTATTTATTTATTTGACAGAGAGAGACACAGCGAGAGAGGGAACACAGCAGAGGGAGTGGGAGAGGGAGAAGGAGGCTTCCCGCGGAGCAGGGAGCCCGATGCCGGGCTCGATCCCAGGACCCTGGGATCATGACCTGAGCCGAAGGCAGACGCTTAACAACTGAGCCACCCAGGCACCCTGCTGTCCAGTTTTCTTAACATCGTTTGTTGAGAAGACTACTATCTCCCCATTGTATATTCTTGTCTCCTTTGTCATAGATTGATCACTGGGGTTCCCCCCCCACCCCAGCTCTCTGTTCTGTTCCACTGATTTATGCATCTGTTTTGTGCCAATATCTTACTGTCTTGATTAGTTCTTGATTAGTTTGTGGTATAGCTTAAAATTTGGGATTGTGATACCTCCAGTTTTTTTCTCCTTTCTCAAGATTGCTTTGACTATTCTGGGTCTTTTGTGGTTCCATTTAAATTTTAGGATTATTTGTTCTAGTTGTGTGTAAAATGCTGTTGCTACTTTGATAGTGATTGCATTGAATCTGTCAATTGCTTTGGGTAGTAAAATGGACATTTTAATGTGTTCTTCCAATTCATGAGCATGGAGTATCTTTCCATTTGTTTGTGTCCTCTTAAGTTTCTTTCATCAGCGTCTTACAGTTTTCAGAGTATAGGTCTTTCACTCCTTGGTTAAATTTATTCCTAGGTATTTTAGTCTTTTTGATGCAATTTTATGTAGGATTGTTTTCTTGATTTCTCTCTCTGCTACTTCATTATTAGTGTATAGAAACATAAGACATTTCTGTATATTAATTTTTTATCCTGCAGCTTTACTGAATTCATTGATTGATAGTTTTCTGGTGGAGTCTTTAGGGTTTTCTATATATAGTATCATGTCATCTGCAAATAGTGACAGTTTTACTTTTCTTACCAATTTGGATGGCTTTTATTTTTTTTCTCTTGTCTGATTGCTGCCTCTAGGATTATTTTTTCATTTAAACCACATATTTGAAAAATAGATCTTCCAAAAAAAATTTAAAAAGAAAAACAGTTCTTCCTTATCCTGTTTCCACATCCCCTCCCCCCATTTTATTCCTTTAAGGCAAACCAGGACTATTTCACAAATGTCATACTTTCATTTCACTAGAATTACAAATTTCACTAGTTCTTTTTAAAAATCTTTTAATGTTTTTTTTTATTATTTTTTAAAGATTTTATTTTTCAGAGAGAGAGAGAGCACAAGCAGGGGGACTGGCAGGCAGAGGGAGAAGCAGGCTCTCTGCTGAGCAAGGAGCCTGATGTGGGACTCTCTCTCTTTTTTTTTAAGATTTTATTTATTTATTTGACAGAGCGAGACACAGCGAGAGAGGGAACACAAGCAGGGGGAGAGGCAGAGGGAGAAGCAGGCTTCCCGCCAAGCAGGGAGCCCAAAGTGGGGCTCGATCCCAGGATCCTGGGATCATGACCTGAGCCGAAGGCAGATGCCCAACAACTGAGCCACCCAGGCGCCCCTCCAGTAAGATTTTCAGAGGACTTTCTGATTATATTTAGATGTTTAGAAGGTTAGGTTATGTTTATGAAGTCCTAGTCTAGATGATCTCTGAAGTAGATCCCTTTGAACTCTTAAAAAAAAATGCTGGCTGTATTTGATCTCTTTAGCTAAGTAGCATAACTGTGCTTCTTAAAACAGCACTTTTTTTTTTTTTTTTTAAGATTTTATTTAGGGGTGCCTGTGTGGCTCAGTCGGTTAAGCATCTGCTTTGATCTCAGGTCATGATCCCGGGGTCCTGGGATTGAGTCCTGCATCGGGCTCCTTGCTCAGTGGGGAGTCTGCTGCTTCCTCTCCTTCTGCCCCTCTCCCTGCTCATGCTCTCTCTCTCACACAAGTAAATAAATAAAATCTTTTAAAAATACTTTCTCTCAGAGCAAGCGTGCCTGAGAGGGGTAGGAGGGGCAAAAGGGGAGGGGCACAGGGGGAGGGGCACAGGGAGAGGGAGAAGCAGGCTCCCTGCTGAGTGCAGAGCTCTAACCGGACTCCATCCCCGGACCCTGAGATTATGATCTGAGCCCAAGGCAGAAGTTTAACTGACTGAGCCACCCAGGCACTCCCAGAACTGTTTTACAACATGAACCTTTCCTAGGGTTAAAATGTAACATTTTCTTGGAAGCTTCTGGTAGTCTGTGATCCTCTGATATCACAACATACTGTACAGACTCAGAACTTGATTTTACTGCAACAGAGAATTTAATTTCCTGCATCATCAGTTCTCCCCTCACCACTGGATTATTTTCAGCAGCATACAGATCTGATACGCCCACCCATCATCAGACATTCCCTCTTCTGATACCCTGTGTTCCTGCAGCCATTGCCCTGTGCTCTTCTCCCCTTTGCAGTAAAGCCCCTTGGGACGAGAGTAGCCAGGGCCCCCTGTCCTCTCAGTGTCTGAACTTGCCCACCACTGGGCTGCTACCCCACGGCTTCTACCAGGGTTAACTTCCAGGCGCTAGATTTGGTGGCCAGCCTCAGCTGTCACCTTGCATCCTTCCCTAGTGCTGGACCTGGTTGTCCACTTTCTTCACCGGCTTCCAGGACCGCACACTCTGGGGTTCCAACGACCTCTGGGCCATTTCTTCTTACCCGTGGCATCACTTCTAACTTTTGGGGATCACAAGCCCCTTTTACACTGTGGTCATCTCTGCGGACCCACTTTAGAAAAGTGCGTGTTTATATGATGAAATTTATCAGTCTGAGTTTTCATCCTTTTTACTTATGGTGACTTCTAGCTAGCTTTGATTTCTTTAAGAGTCAAAGGTTATGAGCTGAAATAGTGTTTATAATATAATTTTTGGCAATATATGTATTTCATCATTTATTCTCCTAAGTGATCAAATGATAATAACATTTACGACTGTTTTATAGTGGTTACTTAGATCATCCTGAAAATAAGGTCTCATTGCCATGATGTAATGCTGAAGCCTGAAATTTAAGGGGTCCAGAGACCCATTTTGAATCTCTTGAAAAGCCTGACAAAGTGGTCATTACATACAGTAATATGATTAGTCTTAGTATTAAATCTATTAAAAATTGCTCTAAAACCTGAATAGAAATTGTGATGAAATATCCTATATTTCTGTAGAATTCTTCCCACATTCTCTCTTTTAGCCCCATATTTAGCCTTTTATTTTATTTTTTTAAGATTTTATTTATTTATTTGACAGAGGGGGAGAGAGAGAGAGTGAGTGAGTGAGCACAAGCAGGAGGAGCAGCAGAGGGAGAGGGAGAAGCAGACTCCCCACTGAGCAGGGAGCCTGATGCGGGGCTCGATCCCAGGACTCTGGGATCATGACCTGAGCTGAAGGCAGAAGTTTAACCAACTGAGCCACCCAGATGCCCCATATTTAACCTTTTAAAATCTATTTAGTTCAAGTTTTTTACCTAAGTCTGTTACCCACAAATGTTTTCATCTTTGCGTCATTCAACCTTTGTCTGTCTGTAGATGTGATTCCTCTATAGCTGTGTCATGTACAATTTGGTTCAGTGTTTAGAAATCTCAACATTATTTTGTGAGTAATTTTATTAAGTGTTACAGCTAGAATTTTTAATGACTACATCTGTCTGGTCTACTTAATAGTTCCTATCCAGCTGGGCTTTTTTATGGTTTCCAGAGTTCCTCAGTTACAAATAAATGCTATTATACGGAATCTTTGTAAATGCAATTTTGTTTTTTATTTTTAAATTATTGCCTGCTGACAAGTTCTCAGGAGTATGATTATACAATCAAAACCAAACCTGGCCTTGCAGTCTTTGAGGTGTTAGGATTTTTCTTTATTTTTGCCAGTTTTGTTGAAAAGAGTTTCATTATTTGAATTTGCCTTTCTTAATCATGAGCAAGGTAAAACTTTCCCCTGTGGATTTAATACTTCTGTTTCCTATTATGTGAATTGTCCCATATTCCTTGTCTGTTTATCTGTTGGGACTTACTACGCTTGTATAAGCTCACAACCCTTTTTGATCAATCATATCGATTATACGTTTGTATATTACTTTCCCTTTTATGCTGATTTTGATTTTTCAGCATAGAGAAAATTTTGCACACCTTCAGAACACTGCATTTATGGCCATTCTGGTGGATGATAATTTCTTTTTCTTTATTTTTTAAAATTGTGTGATTGCTGGGGCACCTGGCTGGCTCAGTCAGTACAGCGTGCAACTCTTGAGCTCAGGGTTATAGGTTCAAGCCCCACATTGGGTGTGGAGATTACCTAAAAATAAAACCTTGAAAAAAAATTTATAATTGCTTTTGTTTGCTACTATATTTATAAACAAATTTGTAAATGTAGGCATTTTACATTTGTGGCAGACTGACAGTTTATAAAGGATTTTCAAATGTGTCATTTAAAAAAAAATTTTTAAAGATTTATTTATTTTAGAGGGAGAGAGAGAGTGTGTTCGAGCAGGCGGGGGGGCAGAGGAAGAGGGAGAGAGAGAGAGAATCCTCACACCAACTCCCCAACGCGGGTCTCGATCTCACACCCCTGAGACCATGACCTGAGCCGAAATCAAATCAGACGCTTAACCGACTCAGTCACCCAGGGGCCCCTTGAATGTGTCATCTTATTTAAATGTCTCCATTGATGATATTTTATCTGTTCTATTTCTCTTTTTTTCCAGGCACCCAACAGGAGGATCCTTTATTCGTCCCAACAAAGTAAATTTTGGAGTGGACTTTCTCACTGCAGTGAAGAATCGCTATGTGTTAGAAGATGGACCAGAGGAGGATGTAAAAGAGCAAATCGTTATAATTGGAAATAAACCCGTGGAAACTATTGGGTTTGACTCTATTATAAAACAGCAAAGGTACGTAGGCTTGATAGCGGCAGAAATGACTTTGACGGTTTCATCACTGTTCAGAATTGAAGTTCAGCAGACTGTATGTTGATACTCAAAACTTTGCCTCCAAATTGGTCTGTCCTTTCTGCACAAACAGCAAATTGAAATCAGAGGAATCCAAGGACTGAGTCTTTGGGGAAGTTAAAATTCTTAATTTAGCGTAGGGTTGTTGGGCTTTTCTGGATTGGAATTAAAACATTAGTTTGCCCATCACTAATATTTATACCAGCCATCTTGTCTAATAAGTAACTGAGATTGACATTTTGGTCCTTTTCTATTTCATGGTGACATTTCTAGCGGGGTGATAAGTCAGAAGGGGAAACAGAGCTCTAAGTTTTTAACTGCCATGTGGCATGCTGGGCCCATCTAGAACCGAGTTAATTTCCATCTCTGGACGCACACCCTTTCTTCCCTGGGGTGCTTGTGAAATTGCAGAATCCTGGGCCCCATCCTAGACCTGGATCAGAATACCATGGGCTCTTGCTTTTAAGAAGTACCCCAAATTATTATGTAGAAGTGTGAGGGACACTAAATAACACCTTATAAAGCTGCTGAGTGCAAACATTCCATTCTCTGAAACTCTCTGTACACTGGTTCTGTGAAGAGGCCTTCTGCCCACTCCGATGCACAGGCTGAATCACAGTGAGTAGAAGCTGATGTTCCACAAAAACACAACTGCACAAGAACCTTTCAGATGACGGTCAGTGCTGTGGTGTTTGACCCGGACCCGGAGAAGGTGGCCTAGTAGTGCCCCCTGGTGGCCACAGTGGAGAGTACATTTGTAGCCACTTGGCTTCTTACTTTCTCTGCCTCTCAAGTCAAATAAACTGGTTTTGTTTAAGTCCATTTATTTGCTATCTTATTTTGCCGTTATTGTGAAGATTTAACATGACACCAGATGTAAAGTGCGCGTGGTGACCATGTTGAAGAATAAATTCATTTCTGGATACCTCTGCTTTTTAGCATAGGTGACCAGCCTTAGCAACAACAACAGAAAACTCAGAGGAACCATCCAAATACCTATAAACATAGAATGGATAAATAAATTATGCTGTATTCATTCAGTGGCAGTGAATGTGAGCAAAAATAACTGCTCGTGGCAACAATACGGGTGAAATCTCATTAACATAGCGTCCAGCCCAAGGAAGTACACCTTGAATGATTCTGTCTGTATGAAGGTCAGCAACGGGCACAACTGATCGATAGTGTTAGAAGTCAGGCTAGACGGTTTTGAGGGGAGGAAGCAAGGGTCAGGGGCACAAAGAGGACTTCCCAAGTTCCGGGGATGTATTTCTTGATCTGGGTGATGGTGACCTGTGCGTATTTATTTAAAATCACTGAGATGTGTACTGATGTAGAGGTAGGCTAATGCATATACTCTTCCTATATGGGATTTTTTTCAATAAAAAATAAGTGAAGGAGGAAAACTCAGAATAAATCGAGATTTAAAAAAAAAAAACAAAACAACTTGACCGTTAATTACAAAGCAGCTTACACTCACTGTTGAGAATTTAGAAAATAGAAATCAAACAAAAGGAAGTCGTGACTCATGCTACCACTGAGAGATAACTTTCATGGATCTTTTTTGCTCTTGATCCTACTGGTTTACTTGGATTTAAAGAACTATGTGCTTTATAGGGTTGGAGTTCTTTGCTTCATCTTCCCATTTAAAATGCAACTATTGGAGGGAAAAAAGGTGCAAATATTGAAACATCTTTTACCCCAAAAGAAGCACATTTTTTCTTGCTGGTTAATCTGAATACCATGGCTCTGTGAAAATTGCAAACAGATTTTCCTCCCCTAGCTTATGAACGACTGTATAACTCATGAATTCTTTTAGTGCATGACCTAACTACTAGAGTATCATGGCATTTCATAGTTAGCTAGTGTTTCCCTTGGAACGGACCCAGTGTTGGAGTCAGGCTGGGTTCAGACGTTAGCCACCTTCTAGCTCTGACACTTTCTAAGTTCTAAGCCTGAGTCTCCTCCTTTACGAAACAATACCTAAGCTATTAGACCTGCTGTGGCTAACACGGGAGACTGTGGGTCAATACTGGAAAGAATCCTCCACTTGAAGCCATCATGGTTTCTCCTTAACGATATCCAGCTGACCAGCTCTGAGTTTGTACCACTAAGACTTATGGAAACGGAATTTAAAAAACCCCAATAAAAGCCAGTATGTATCACTTCTCTTGGAGATGGCTTTGGCTCTGAAGTGAGGTCTGTGCTGAAAACTGGGTTCCCAAGTTCTGTGGCAAGGTTTCCCTGGGCACTGCAGCCAACTCAGTGGGCACAGCGGGTATTTTTAATTTTAGAGGGAAACAGTGGCCTCTGTTGGACACGGAGCAAACTATTAGTTTGAAGTTGTTCAGTTTTGTGATAATCCTACAAATCCTTTTACTGGTGTCCCATGCTTGCAAAGCTGGGTTTTTGGTGTTCCTGTGATAAAAAGCAAGTATCTCCTGAAAAGCATCGTGAAATAAGACATGAAGGTAGCGATGTCCAATCTGATTCCAGGGTTTAGGAAGTTGTGCTGGGCCCAACTGACACTCAGTTTGAAGGACACACATAATTATTACGTTGTTTGGCCCTAACTACTTACTAAATGTAAACTGTGGTGTGTTTTGTTTTGACTTACGGGCACACTGAAAAAATTACTGAAACACCAAGGGCGCTGTGAACTTGAGCCAGTTTGGGAGCCTCTGCCCTAGATCTTTGTTGCTGCCTTTCCCCCAGTTTCTCATTACTGTAATAGCACGTGCCTGGCGTTTTGATCGGAGTGTTTCCCCCAAGGGTGGTCAGTTTTTTGTTTATTTTTATAAATACTTACAAAATAACTTACTGTATGTCAGGCAGTATTCTGAGATTTCACAAATACTAAATTATAGCATTTAAAAAATTGTAAAAAGCACAATACAGAATTTACCACCTTAACCATTTTTAAGTGTATAGTTTGGTAGCGCTAAGTACATTCACGGTGTTTTGCAGCCATCCTCTCCATCCATCTCCAGAACCTTCCCAAAATGAAACTCTGTCCCACTCCAACAGCAGCCCCTGGCCCCCGGCAGCCACCATGCTACTTTCTGTCTCTGTGAAGTTGACTCCTCTAGGGACCTCACATAAGTGGAATCCTACAGTATTGTCCTTTTGTGATTGGCTTCTGTCCCTTTGCATAATGTCCTCAGATTTACCCACATTGTATTGTATGTCAGCATTTCCTTCCTTTTTAAGGCTGGGTAATATTCCATTGAATGGATGTACCATACTTAGTTTATCCATTCATCTATCGATGGACATCTGGGTTGTTTCCCTCCTTGGGCTACAGCGGTAATGCTGCTTGAACAAGCACATAAACCACAGCATTTTAAAGCTGTGGAATCCGAGGCACAGAGATTCTAACTCCCCTAAGGCCCAAGGAAGTGGTGGGATTGGGATTAATGCAGATCCTCTACACTTAAAACATGGCTTCTGAGATTATATAGTAAAGCTGAAGATATGCACGCTCTCCGGGATATAACCCTAGAGAGACTTTCACAAGTGAATGCGAGAAGCATACGATAGTGTTTACTTCAGCCCTGCTGGGAATAATATAAATGTCAGCAGAGGAGTAAATAAAGTAACTATGGTCTATAAGATATGAAAACAAATGCTCTAGAGCACATGGGTGAATCTCACTGCTGAACAATATACCACTGGGGGGAAAAAGTAGCTTGGAGGAGGATAAATACAGTAGGATACCATTTATATCAAGTTTCATTATAGATAAAATGCTATGACTGTTTAGGGATATGGAAATGTGTAGTAAAACTATTAAAGGCTTAAGTTTAAACAAGCACCCAGTGTGGGGGAGCAGAGGAGGAAGGAATATCCTGGAATGGGACACGAAGGACTTCAGTTATATTTGTAGCGTGTGTTAATGCTTTCTTTTTCTTCTCTTTTACTAAAGCTTTATTTCTGAAACTGGCTGGTGGGTACTGGTACTGGTTATTTTTGGTAACTTCTTCTGTGAAATGCTTTTTAACTTTTTAAAGGGCCAGTGGCCGTGTACATGTTTATGCATACGTGTGAACTATATGTTTTTCATGCAGTCAGCTGAGCAAGTTGCAAGAAATTTCTCTGAGGAACTGTGCAGTGAATTGTGCTGGTGACAGAGGAACAATTGCCAAAGCATGTCCTAGTATCCTTTTCACTGTGAACCTGACTTTGAACTTGACGCTCGTGCCGGACACGGCCAGTAGCCCACCTGGTGTCTGTTCTCCCTGACTTTCTTCCTCAGGGCATCTGCGTCTCCCCTGGGCCAGTCGCCACCCCGGGAAATTATTTACCTTCCCGGACCCCTCTGCCTTCAGGTGAGGCCTTGTGACTCCCCCCCAGCCAAGGAAATGTGAAGCAAAAGTGTTTAGACAGGGCTCCTCACACAGGGACACACTTGGCTGGCGTCTGCCTTCTGCCCCAAGCCATTACCCTGGCACACAGAGCGCCCGGGGCCTGACAGCCATTTTGTGTGCAGAGCGTCCAGTGTGGACAGGGAGAGAGGAGGCAAAGCCCTCACCCGCACCCCGGGGCCCCCGCACCAGCCCTCCTGGACTGCCTTCCTGTGAGTGCGCAAAATACTCTCCTGTTTCATGCCGCTCGTGCTGTTTGTCACTGGAGCTCAAAACAGGCCCTTCCAAAACTTGTAGTCTCTCTTCTCTACCTTCTTCTAGAAGTGGTTTCTGTTTGTGTTTGCCCTATATTGCTTTCATGCCCACAACTAAAAACATAGGAGGTAAGTTTAAAAGAAAAATCCCCCTGGCAAATGAAAGAGACTTTCTCGAACTTTCAAAGGTTTTCTCACAGTTCTTTAAGCCTGCCTAATCTCTGTGTAATAGTTTATGCCAAAGACAGTTTATAATCCGTGTTCTCCGAGGGAAGAGATGGCAAATGGGCAGCTGTCTTTAGCCAGCTGTTTCTAGCTATCCCTGTGGTGCATGCTTTGTGGTGACAGAAATTAGAGCAGAGCTCCTCAGCCAGTGTGTCTGCGGGGTTGACCCCCCGCAGTCGGGACTTGGTCACCTTGCCCGTGAGCAGCCCCTCCGAGGGCCCCAGCGAGCTGGGCCAACGCAGTCCCATCCTCCATGGTTAGGGGAAGCGAAGCAGATGGTGGTGTTTGGTAAGGAGCAGGATGCCACGGTGGTGTCTGGAATGTTCTGTGATCTGCCTACTGCCGGCTACTGAATGATTTCAGAAGATTGGGAATTGGGTGGTTCAAGATGTATTTTCAGCGTATCAGAGAAGATGTGGCCAGTAGGTGGGTTTGGTTGCTCAGAGTTGTCAGCAGGGTCCTGGGGAGCCCACATCTTGCTTGCCGATGCTGTTCTTTCCTGGGGAAAATGTCCCCCAAGTCTTGAAGAAATACGGTTTCATGAAATGATCAAGTGACGGCTGTTTGCAGGTACAGTGATGAATGTCTTCCAGTTGCTGATTGAGTTCTTGCCTGAAGCAGAAGTACTGTCTGTGTCTAATCCAGTTGTCCCTTTCGGGTGGCGCCCTTTGAGGTCACTCCCTCCGCCAGGACGTCGGGCCGCTTGCCGAGCTGGGAAGCTCCTCTGGAGGGAGGATGAGCTGCCTCCTGCTCTGCTAGCTGGCTCTGCATTGGGGGGGGGGCGCGGGTTGGGGGGGTTGGGTAGAGTCTGTGCCTGCGAGCCGGAACCATGTAGCGCCCAGAGCTGCTTGGCCTGTGCGTGCGTGCGCATGAGGGGCACTCATGACAACTGCCGGGTTGTTTAGAGCTGATTTCAGAGTGCAGGTGGTCTGTGTGCTCTGGATAGACTAGCAGGTGTGTTTATAATCTGAGCCTCCACGATGGAGAGTATGAGTAAGTGAAGGATTACTGGACTGGACCCCTACCCTTGCTAACCAACCCCGTGGTCCAGACTTCGTAGTGGCCTGCAAGGCCCTTTGTGGCGTGGCCTTGGCCCCTGCAGCCTTTGTACCCTCATTTCCAGCACCTCCCACTCCCTTTACCTAAACCCGTTCTAACCTCAGGGCTTTTGCTTGTCTTGTTCTCTCTGCCCGGATGCTCTTCTCCCAGATGGCGTTTCCTCATTTCCTGTGGTTCTCTGCTCAGATGGCACCTTCACAGCAAAGATAGTCTTCCACGACCAGTGTATGTAACATACCCACACACCCCTTTCCTGCATCCTCGGCTGCTTCTCTGAGCCTGTGTCTGTATGTGGCATACTGCAGAGGCACGTACTTGTCACCGTCTCCCGAGCTGTGACTGTTGAGTTCGCTGCTCTGCTCCTGGCCCCCCGGCAGTCGTGGGACAGAAGAATGACTGATTCCCCAACATAGCAGAGTCGTGTGTAAGATCCTCCTTTAGCGGCTCCAGTCCTGCCCCAGGCTTCTCTTCCATCTCTCTGTCCGGGGGTTCTGAGCTGCACCCCTCTTGATGGCACCGCACTCCCCCGAGATACTGAGCTCAGGCGCCTTTTTCTCTCTGTCCTGCTGGTTTCTCCTTCTCTGAATTCCCAAATCATTCTTAGCACTTAGAACCTTTGTCCACGCTCACCCCCGTCGTCTGCTCTGGAGGTGCAGCTAGTGACCTGGGGCTTCCCGCGGTGCAGAGACTGAAGGTGTGTGCGTGGCCGCGAGGCCGCCACCAGAAGGAGTGCCCAGGTCGAGGCCCATGCGTGCACCGTAGGCGCTTAATAAAGCAAACTCACCATTGTTCTTTTTTTCTCTTTTTGTTGGATACTGCAAGAATGTTTGGCACTGGGTAGGACATTTGGTTCTTACTTACTTGATTGTAGATGTTTGTCTCAAGTCTGCAGCAGATGACAGTGAACGTTTTCATTTCTAAACGAAGAGTTGGGTGACTTAAAAAGGTAAAGTAGCGTGTGCTCGTGAAAAAATTTCAAGCAGAAGAGAGGGTAAAAGGTGAGAAGTTAAAGATCCGTGCTCCAGAATTCAGAGGTGACGGCTGTTCTTTTTTTTTTTTTGGCCAGTGAAAGTGGGATCTTTGACCTTAGGTAGAGGGAGCCATCGCGGCTAACCCATCAGCAGATGAAACCCGTGGACAAGTAAGTGTAGCAGTACACCCTAGGGACACCCAAAAAGCAATGACAATAGTAAGCCTCTGGGGGAAAGTCCAGTCAGGAGGGGCAACAGTGTAGAGTCCAACTCCCAAGATGAGGGAAATCACACCGATGAGAGCCAGGGACCACGGAGCAGGTGTCCGTCAGGACGACTGTTCTGTCTTGTGTGAATCTTTCTGTATTACTCTTCCTTAATGTGTGCTTTGAGATATCAGAAAAGCAGATTTGTCAAGAAACCTGTTGTCCTCGTGGGATGAAGTCCTAGATATTGCTGATCAGCTCAAACACCTGGAAGTTCTTAATCTCAGGTATGAACTCTTGGGCATCCATTTTGTCACCCCTGACCTCTCCTCCTTCCCTCACGGCATCTCTGTGGGAACGAGGGGGAGATGGCTTAGTGGTATTTAAACTTAATTTCTTCTTCTTTTTTTCTTTTGAGTGCACGCGAGTTTGGGGAGGGGTAGAGGGAGAGAGAATCTTAAGCAGGTTCCACACCCAGTGAGGAGCAAACTTGGGACTGGATCCCATGACCCTGAGATGATGACCTGAGCCTAAATCAAGAGTTGGAAACTTTTTTTTTAATTTATTTTTTATTATGTTCAGTTAGCCAGTATATTATATTAGTTTTTTTTTTTCTTTAAAGATTTTATTTATTCATTTGAGACACAGAGATAGAGAGAGAGCACGAGCAGAGGGGGAGGCAGAGGGAGAGGGAGAAGCAGGCTCCCCTCTGAGCCAGGAGCCTGATGTGGGGCTCGATCCCAGGACCCTGGAATCATGACCTGAGCCGAAGGCAGACGCCCAACCATCTGAGCCACCCAGGCGCCCCCATTAGTTTTTGATGTAGTGTGCAATGATTCATCAGTTGCGTATAACACCCAGTGCTCATCACAACACATGGACACTTAACTGAACCACCCAAGTGTCCCTTGTTTATTTTTAAGCTCTCCCCAACAACGTGGGGCTCGAAGTCACGACCTCAAGATGAAGAGTCGCATGCTCTATTGACTGAGCTAGATAGGTGCCCCTTTTTGGGGGGGGGGGTGTCTTTTGGTTGGCTGGAGGTGGGTGGGCCTGTTGAGCTGGGAGATCTTGGTGTCTCCTGTGAGCCTAACCATGAAGGCTGGGCCTTCTGGGGGAGTTGATATTTAAGTGGGGAGTAGAAGAGGTGCTGTGAAAAGTGCTTATTCATCCTGAAGCTTCTGGCACTTAATTGCCGTAGGAATGAGCACTTTCTTTGGAATGCTGTTTCCTTCAATTCTGATAAGGATTGTCCACCAATCTGCGTGTTTCACTGATGGCACCGTTTTCCAGGCCTCTTCAAACCCTTGGTTAGTTTCAGTCTTAGAACCTGATTCCCCGAGGGCTCAGCAAGGCTAAAAGTATGAAAGTACTTGAGCCAGCCTCGCATGGACAGGTGGGTCGTACCTGGCTCAGGCAGGTTCAGGTAGAGCGGAGAGTCGGGCCTAAATCCGTGGTGCTCCAAATAGGGCAAAGGGTGTCCTTTGACCCCTGGCGCCTCCTCTTCTGGAAATAGGGGCTCATGTGTTTTCATGGTACCTTCCTTCACAATGACTCAGGATTGAGCACTTTCTGAGGTGAGGATCACAAGAGAGCATCGAGAAGGCAGTGATTGATTTTGTCCATCGTGATAGCAAGAGAGCCGTTTAGAGACTCTGGAGGAGCAGGATTGTAGCCCCTGGGGCAGTGTATCAGCACAACGCTTGAGAGGGCACTGAATTTTGCGGGGCCCAGAGCCTTGCGAGCTGGATGCTGATCTTCTGAATGCCTGAGCCTTACGCTCAGCCAGCTGCCTCGGTCCTCTGAGAACATCTGTGCACATCAGATACCAAGAAGTCATGTATCGCAAATACTAAAAATGAGGTAGCCTGGACTCCCTTGGTTTTGAATTAATTTCACTTTGAGGTCGAAACAAACCAAACTCCTCATATTAGATCCCAAATTGTTGCTTTTGGAGACTTTCACTCGGGCCTCCTGGGAGCAGGCAATCAACACATTTTGACTTCTTTGTCTACACAGTGAGAATAAACTCCGCTTTCCCTCGGGTTCACCGTCTCGAACCGGAACATTTCCTGCACTGAAGGTTTTAGTCCTTAACCGAACAGGAATAACATGGGCGGAGGTAATCCTATTTCTTTGGTTTATTACCCAGAAATAAGAAATTTAAGATCGACTGTGGCTTGATTTTAATCATCCTATTATCCAAATAATAGGATTCTTTAAACTGACTCACAGAATGGAGTTACAGAATTGTTGTAGTGAAGTAGAATTTTGTATTTTGGGATTGGGATTTTCTCTCTTGGCTCCTTCTGCATTGTTCTAGGGTGTCTTTCTGGGCGGTGGCACTCCATAGCGAAGTGCAGTTAACGTATGCCTAACTTAGAGCCCTCGCGTTAGCTGTTGATGGAGCTTTTAGCTCACCCAGTTTTCCCGCAAGTGCTCCGAGGCAGAGCTGCCGGAAGATTCTCGCATCCTTTTCTTGTTTAAAGTTGGGCTCCTGGAGTCCACTGTGCCTTGTATACAGCTGGGTTCAAAAGTGGACTTGTGGCTGCTTCGCCTGGCAGCATTTGGAACTTATATCTGGCACTGCTATTTTTCTATCCGAGGTGAACTGACCTCACACGCCCAGAATATTCCATTTTCGCAGCTAAGCACCTCCCCGGCAAAGTCCTTCATCTGTGAAATGCCACTGGGGCGCCGCCCTCAGAGACAAGTCACCTTTCCCGGTGCGCGTGTGCTCCAGCGCTCCTTTGTTGGTGGTGGGTTTAGATTTAGCGTGAGAACAGGCCGGGCACATAGAAATTCAGGTGCTAGAGATGGTGGCAAAGTTCAAGTGAGAAAATGTAGAAATAGTTGTTAGGAAACACCGTCTGATGAGTGTATCCTTTACACACCCGGGGTGGCATTGAGAACTGAGCAGCCGTGTTTAACATCAAGTTCCTTCCTTCGCTGAAGCAAACCGTGTCACATGATGAGTGTGCGCGCAGTGCCCGTCTGCACGTCTGCTTTCTAGGTGCTCGGACAGTTCAAGACCTCCCCGGAGGACGCCTTCACAGCTACCAGACTGTATACGCTCCTGTGTCATTGAAATACTTTGTCACCTGTCCACTAGGTGCTCCGGTGTGCCTCTGGATGGCCAGTCCTTAAGGAGCTGTACCTCAAGTCCAACGATCTTTTCATTTCAGAAAGGTAACAAGGGTTTATTTATGTGCATGCGTCACCATCTAGTCTGAATACATAAACGGTCTCAGTGATGCCTCACACTGATTTTTTAAAGGATTTGCCAATAAGAATTAGGAAGCATGCTTATTACTCTTCACGAAGTAGGATGCCAACTGATTATTGGTTTTAATTGAGGAAAAGCCCATCAGAGTGAGAACCTTGAGTTAAATATATTTGAAGACAGGGATTTTATTAGTTTCACAGAAATATATTTAACTTCTGTTTCTAAATGGAGGTTCTTTAGGAGATGCTTTATAAGGATCAAAGAATGCATTTTAGTTATTTTATTATTTTTTCAAATAATACATTTTAGTTAGCATTATCTGCTTAAGGTTGGTGTACCAAAGTATATGTAAAAGCTTGTTCTCCTTAAGTAAATTAAATACGTTGTCTTTCTCTTTTGTTGATTATCATTAAATTATTACTGAAACTAAACATGGCAAATTTACAACAAATTCTCATTGAACGATTCAAGTTAATGAGATTTTACTATACGGAACTATTTATTATACAGGCAAATGCAGGTGTTTTTATTTTTATTTTGTTTTAAAATATTTTATTTGTCAATTAGGGAGGGGAGGAGAGCAAGCGAGTGGGGGAGGAACAGAGGGAGAGGGACAACACCGTGCTGAGCATGGAGCCCCATTCAGGGCTCAATCTCACAACCCTGAGATCATGACCTGAGCCAAAACCAAGAGTTGGACACTCACTGACTGAGCCACCCAGGTGACCCTGCAGTGTTTCCAAATTACACTTTTTATTTTGAGATAATTTGAGATTCCCATGCAGTTACCAGAAAGAATACCCGGAGATCCCCTGTACCCATGAGCTGGATGCCCCCCTCGGTAACATCTTGCCAAGCTGCGGTACCTTATCACAGCCAGGGTCCTGACGTCGGTCCAGTCGAGATGCAGAACGTTTCCATCACCACTAGGCCCCCCATGTTTCCCTTGTGTGGTGCTATCCACCTGCCTCCTGCCTCGCCCTCTCCTTTACACTAAATGCGGTATTTTAAGGCCGTATCTTTGAAAACAATTAAGAGATTAAATTCATGTTGAAATGCTTTTATTTTCCACAGGCCGGCTGATGTTCTACAGACAGTCAAATTATTAGACCTTTCCTCTAATCAATTAATTGATGAAAATCAGCTGCTTCTAATAGCCTATCTGCCCAGGTAATTTGCTCCTAAAATGCCAGTTGCAATAGTGCTTAGGAAATTTTTAGTGAATGGATCATATGCTGTATTTGCTTTCTCAGTGGAAATATGATGATGGAATTCACAAACTGAGTGATTCCTGTTGGGACACTTTTATTTGAATTCATGTGGAGAATGTCCCTGTGAACCGCATACACTGTAGTCTACGTCTGCAGTAGGTAACTGAAGAATGAATAATTTGGCCCTGGTGCTGATGTCAAAAGTCTTCATTCATTAACCTTTGGGAAATTAGACCATGTCTCTTTCCTCCCTGAGACCCATGAGCACGTAGCGCAGCCATGCACACCAGGAACGGGTGGGTGACTGTAGAATCCTCAGAACACATTCTAGAGTCCACCCCGAGTGCCCCAAATTGCACTCTGTGGTTTTTTCTAAGCATTTCACGTGGAACGAGAACCTAGGGTGTGGGGGGAGAAATTACAGATGCAGTCCGGTTGATAGCCTATAGCATTTTCTGTTGTGCTTTGTAATCAAATTTAACATTTTAAATTTCAGATTAGAACAACTAATCCTTTCTGACATTGGAATTTCTTCTATACATTTTCCGGATGCTGGAACTGGTATATAAGATCATTAGTTCCCCTCCCCTGCCCCGTACCTCATAATTGAGCTCTTTCTTTCACTTCTGCTGTGTAACTTCGTTCTCCTTTTTTTCTAGGGCACAAAACATCCATGTTTCCTTCCTTGCAGTACCTCGTAGTAAATGACAATCAGATATCACAAGTAAGGGCTTCTGCAGAACGTGCATACCGCATGAGCTCTCATTGTCACTCTCACCAGGAGTTTGTCGGTTCCTTCCGTTACAAAATAGTTACTGCATTTTAAAAATATTCTTTATAAAGTTAATTTTACCTCCAGTATAGTTAATGTGCAGTGTTCTGTTAGTTTCAGGTGTACAGTATAGTAGTTCCGCAGTTCCATACATTACTCAGGGCTCATCGAGATTGATGTACCCTTAATCCCCTCCCCTCTTTCCCCCATCCCCCTCATCCACCTCCCCTCTGGTGACCATCTATTCTCTATAGTTAAGAAGAGTCTATTTTTTTGGTTTGTCTCTTTTTTCTTTTGTTAGTTTGTTTTGTTTCTTAAACTCCACATGAGTGAGATCATATGGTATTTGTCTTTCTCTGATTGACTCACTGCACTTAGCATAACACCCTCTAGTTCCATCCATATTGTTGCAAATGGCAAGATTTCATTGTTTTTTATGGCTGAGTACTATTCCATTGTGTATATGTTCCACATCTTCAGTCATCAATCAGTGGGCATTTGGGCTGCTTCCATGGTTTGGCTATTGTAAATAATGCTGCTATGAACATAGAGGTGCATGTATCCCCAAGTTAGTGTTTTGTATTTTTTGCGTAAAGACCCAGTAGTGCGATTACTGGATCATAGGGTAGCTCTATTTTTAACTTCTTGAAGAACCTCCATACTGTTTTCCAGAGTGGCTGCACCAGTTTGCATTCCCTCCAACAGTGTAGGAGGGTTCCCTTTTCTTCACATCCTCGCCAACACCTGCTGTTTCCTGTGTTGTTGATTTGAGCCATTCTGACAGGTGTGAAGTGATCTCTCATTGTGGTTGTGATTTGGATTTCCCTGGTGATTAGTGATGTTGAGCATCTTTTCCTGTGTCTGTTGGCCATCTGGATGTCTTCTTTGGAGAAATGTCTGTTCACGTCTTCTGCCCATTTTTAATCCAGTTGTTTTTTGGGTGTTGAGTTTGCTAAGTTCCTTATTTATTTTGGATACTAACTCTCTATTGGATGTGTCATTTGCAAATATCTTCTACCATTCTGTCGGTTGCCTTTTAGTTTTGTTGATGGTTTCCTTCACTGTGCAGAAGCTTTTCATTTTGATGTAGTAAGAAATATTTTAAATTGAAAGAGAAATGTTTCCCCTCAGAAAACCCAAAAGTATTAAGAAAGAAATTAGTTTAAGTCACAGTAAGCAGACTGTCATTTTACATGGCACAGTTCTAGAGTGAAAGTGCATGGTCTTCCTAGTGGGTGCTCGGTGCATGAGGACAGTCCCGTGCCTCGGATTGGAACTAGGGGCTTTTGCTTTTTTTTTTTAAAGATTTTATTTATTTGACAGAAAGACAGCGAGAGAGGGAACACAAGCAGGGGGAGTGGGAGAGGGAGAAGCAAGCTTCCCGCGGAGCAGGGAGCCCGATGTGGGACTCGATCCCAGGACCCTGGGATCATGACCTGAGCCGAAGGCAGACGCTTAACCCACTGAGCCACCCAGGCGCCTCGGGGCTTTTGCTTTTCTCTTGCTAGTTCACATACTCTAAGAAATTAGTCTGAAACATGTTCATTTTCACATATTCTCTTTTGCTGGGTTTCAGTGGCTATTTATCAACGAGCTGGATAAGCTACAGAGTCTGCACGCTCTGTCCTGCATCAGAAACCCCCTGACCGAAGGGAGCAAGGAAGCAAAGACCACGCGTCAGCTCATCATCGCCAAAATCGGTCAGTTGAAGACCCTGAACAAATGCGAGGTGAGTGCTGGGAGCAGGACTGGATGCTGGGTAGAGTAGGAAACAAGTGATCAAGAAATGTGAAAAATTGGAATGTTGCAAAGGGTTATCAGTGCAGTTTCCCTCCGGATGGTGAACTGTCACCCTGTGCGTTACTCAGGGATGGTTCTTCCGGGCTCCTCAGGAGGCGGCGTGGGTCAGTGGAGTCCGGGAGAAGCCTGTTGCTCGGCTGCCCCTTGAGAAGGGGCGAGGAGTACTGGGTACTTGCTCCTTTGTCTTGGGGGGATTATAGGCAGAAAGAGGATGGAAGCACAGAGCTTATTCTCTTCTTCTGAGCCACTCTGCTCATAAAACTGCTGCTCGCCTGGAATAATCTGCTCCTAGGGCTGGGGGGGCACCTGTGGGCCAACCTCATGGGGGTGTTGAGCTGCTGCCGCAGGCCGGACGCCGGCTTAAGACTGAACTTATTTTCTTCTTCAGTGAACTCCTGAATTCTGTCCCTGTTAGAAAGGAAAGGTAAAACTAAAAGGCCTGTCCCTCTCAACGTGGTGATTCTCCATGGGTGAGCAGTGGAGGAAGGACAGGGTACAAAACACAAGCCAAGTGTTAGAGAAGTACTCGAAGAGACCTGTTTTTATTCCCCTTCCTGTAGATTCTGCCGGAGGAGAGGCGGGGGGCTGAGCTTGATTACCGGAAGGCGTTCGGAAATGAATGGAAGAAGGCCGGGGGACATCAGGATCCAGACAAAAACCGACCCCATGAGGAGTTTCTCGAAGCGCATCCCAGATACCAGCTGCTGTGCCTTAGTACGTGTGGCCGCAGCCCTCCCTGCGCCGCCCCTGCAGCTCCAACCGCTGGGCGTTGGAGGGGACCGTCGGCGCCCCTCCTTTTCTCCTTCGGGGCTTTTTTGGATGTCTTTAGGGAAGAGTCAGCAGCCTCCCTCGGCGCAGGGAACCTGGGGAGTCTGAGGGTTCCTGGGAGAGATTGGCATTGGGTGGGGGCATTGGGGGGGTTGCTGAGGGACGGCGGGGAGAGCAGCTCTGAGGGGAAGCTCCTCCTGTCTGCGTGTGTTCATCGGGCTCCCCACTCCGAGAGGTCGGTGGACTCCTCCTTTAAGGGGGGCAGGAACCTGGGGGATTTTAAACGTGCGGAGCGTGTTAAGGTAGAAGCCAGGCCCTGGTGTTTCTGAAGCTCCCCAGGTAGTTCCGCTGTGCTGACGAGCGCGTCCTTTCTCCTCCGTGCTGCTGAGGGCGCCCCCGATCCACCCCCATCCCTGCCCCCCCCTCCTCCCCGCAGCTCGGGCTCTGGCTCTGCTCGGTGCTTCCTTACCTTCCCCAGCCTGGACCCTCAGGCCCTGAAGCCACCACTTCATGATTCTCTGTCCCTGACATACTCCCCATTTTGTTTTGACTTCATTATTATTCCACATTTCACTTTTATGTGTTTGTTTTTTTTTTTTTTTAATTTCCTAATGTAAGCTGCTCACCGCACAAAGGCTTCAGGCTGGAACATTATCTTTGAGGAAGAAAAGCTGCCTGGGGTTATTGCTTTCAGATCACTCCCATTAGCTGGCCCAATTTCCCGGCCACTTTAGGTGAATCTGAATCACCTGGGGGAGGGGAAGGGGGGAAAGGGAAGGTTCTGGAGCAGCCCCGCAGACAGGGCTCAGGGTGTCCTCCCCGCTCAGAACGGGGTATTTCTAGAAATGCAGGCACTGGCCGGCCCAGCAGAGAGTCAGAGCCGAGAGGCCTGCTCTCCCTGCGCCCTTCTCTTGAGGCTGCTTTTCCAGGCACGGGGCTGGGGCCGGGCGCCCAGCCTGGCATGGCACCATCTGGCTGACACCTGAAGGTGTCCTGTGAGTTACGTCCCAGCTGGTACCAGAGTTATCCGTCAGGACCCCGAAAGCGAGGGAACTGTTGGCAAACGCCAAGCTCTGCATCAATGTCTTAGGTATCTGAAGGCACAGGCTGGTCTTGCTGGTCGGGCAGCAGGACGGCGTCTGTCTTTGAGGACCAGCAGCGTGAGACGCCGCGGATGGAGGGGTCCGTGCGTGGAAGCAGTTGCTGACCATCCCTCCTAAAAATAAACAAGTAAACAAGTAGCCGAATAAAAGGGAACAGATCCCAGGTTAGCAGGGCAGATGCTGCTTGGCGTGTCCTGGGAAGGCAGAGGCTCGGCCGATCCATTCAGTGCGTGTATTTTTCCTTCTGGTGGCCGTGGGTTTATCATCATCCCTGTTTATGCTTCTTCCGCAGAATATGGTGCGCCTGAAGACGGGGAACTCCAAACACAACAACCGTTTCTGCTCAAAAACCGGCTACTGAGTAAGAACCCCACACTCAAAGACAGCTTATTTGTATTCGCGTCCTTAGGTGCCGAGATAGTGAGGAGCTCTAGGGATTGTTGGTTTCTCCTAAGTAAGTACCTAGAGTACTCCAGTTTTGAAAGAAATGATGAATTCGCAAACATTTGAATTCTCATCTCGAACATTTTAGCAATTCCCAGGCTTCCGGCACATTTGATTGTGTTATAAATGGGGGGAGCGTGTGAGAAGTGCACCGACTTGTGATTTGTAAACATGTGGCTTTTCTTACACGGGGACACCCAGCTGCCTTGTCAGGAGAGGAGGCGGAGGGGAGGAGGGGAGGCACTAGAATGCTGGTCCAGCGTTTTCTGTTGCTGTTAATTCTCTGAAGGATTAATAGAAGGAATTTGCGACATCAGTAAGACCTGTTCCTTTGTTAGGATCCGAGCCCCACGGTACTGACAGCGGGTCATGGGGCAGCTGTGGGTAACGTGTGTGTGATTTAAATCCTTATCACAGTAGCTCTCGGTCTTTTTCCTTTTTTTCTTTCAAGCACTGAAGATAAAATACCCTAATCAAGTTGATCAGAGAGTCCTAGAGAAACAACTGCCAGGTAAGAAAAAGAGGCCTTTCGCATCCTTACACTTAGGAAACACTGGTCTAGGCACGACTTGGCTGGAAGGAAAATATCTAGAAGTGTGCACTTTTGGAGCTTATAGGTTTCTGCTAATCTTTTATGATCTAAAACACAATCCATCGACACTCCCTCCAAAAGCTCAAGTCTTCCGTACTCAGGTCAGCTTATCTAGGAAAGTCTTGTTTTTTTTTTTTTTTTAA